TTCTTCTTTTTTTTTAATCTCAAATATGAAAAACTAATTATGGCAAACAGAATAAAGCTTTTTTTTTTCATTGTGGAACTATCTGACAACTTTTCAATCAGATGCTTTTCATTATATCTAAAACTGCACATCAAAAGTCATAAAAAAGGGTAATTCTCCATTATGCATGATTTCCCAGAGAGAAGTTGACTGAATAAACAACATCTGCTGCTTAATAAAACTTTATGGAGGTTTCAATTGACTTTTCTGGCACGCGGTAGAAAGAAACTTTGCTCACTTGTTAAAATAGCCTTTGGCGACGTTTAGAGTTTGAATTTGTCTTTCAAATGCGCATCGTTCTCGGCAACGATTTGAAATGCGGCTCTCACTGTTCTTCCCGAACCACAAGTTCGTTGGATTTACATTTGCTAGCTCGACGCGTGTCTACATTTACTTACTGATAACGGAAGCCATAATTTATCCTTCCGCCCGAGATGTAAATTGACAATTAAAGTGCTGCCGTAACACCGGGGCGCCGGGGAACAACAACAAGCTGTGGGCAGAAAGGCAAGAATTGTGAAGAGAGATGGAAGGCGGTTTATGCAGCAGCTGTGTGTCTGGCAGAACAAAACAGCACATTTCAGCACACAGGCGGAGACGGCTCTTTTTCACCTGAGTGTGCACTGATTAAGTTGTTATGACGAGTTGTTGAGAGCCTTAAGTTTTCCCCGCTGGTGTGTTCCTTCCCTCGGCCATATGTCTTTACTTAATAACTACAGCAGTGAGAGAGAGAGAAGAGGGGACAGAAAGTGATTACCACTCTGTATAGATTACAGTTGTTGATGCTGATGCCGAGGCGCGATGTAGTGGGAGAATGTTGTTGGTTTTGGGGGGGGTGGTGGGGGGGACTGGAGGCGAGGGGAGATTTGTGGCGACGTTGTCTAAAGCACCTGCATTTACTTCTGCGCGGTGAGATCAGAAGGCAGCGGAGTGTGTTATTTGTCACTCAAAAGGATAAAAGAAAACTGTCACATTTATTTCGGAGAGCGTCTCTGTGCGAGTAAACCGTCATGGGTTTGTTGCTGTGACCTTGGGTCTCGCCCGTTATGGGCGATGCAATGTGGCTCTCGAGGGTGATGAGCGCCTGGTGTTGAGTGGAAGGTTTACAATATTGACCCAAATAAGACAACACTGATTATGGGCCGCTGTGGGGGGGGGGGGCGGTGTAAAAATGATTTTAATCAGAAAAACTTGATGTTACACACCTTTTCTGTAGAAATAGTATCCCCCGAGGTCGCATTAACTCAAGGAGAAACGGGTCTTCGTCCTTGTAAATGGCTCCTTATTATCTGGTAAATACGAAACGTGAAATAATAAATAATACTTCAGAGGCATGAATCCCTCATTTGCGCTGTCAGTCAGAATGTGTGACAGCTCTAATTCTCAGCCCCCTGACAAATGATTCATGCTACAGTCCGGCTTCTGCAGTAAAAACCATCTGAGGACTCTTTCAACTCGGTTTTTATTAGGAGGTGCAACGATCGATCAGCTGCTAATAGAAACCGGACGGTTTTCAGTGGATGGGCAGTGACTGGTGACCGGACGCTTTAGTGAGTGTGGAGAGCAATTTGATCTAACTGCAATTACAAAATAAGCCATGCAGGAACAACCCTAAAAACCTTTCGGAAGGACTAAATTAAGTACTTCTTAAATTGCAATGTATTCCATTAATGATGCCCAGAGTAATCTATAGAAACCAGCCGATCTGCCGATAGCACAGGCTCTCTCTCGCGCAGTCAGCATGAATTGGGATAAAGGCGGTGGGAGATTAGGAAAGGTTTAACATAGTTTATATAACGTTTGATTGAAGCAGTTCATAATCCAAACATGGCAAGATATTTTTATAAAAGCGCAAAATTGAATGAAAATACAATCATTTACAATCCACCGTTCCTTCTGCCGCCATCTATCAACATTTTACAGCTATACCTCATTAACAGCTCCTAATTGGCTGTTGGGCTTGGCTGGGAACAATGAAGCATTGATTTCCTTAAGCATAATCACCTCACCCAGTCATTTAATGGCTGCTGTCACCGTGGGCCGCGGAGAGAAAAATGACCAGTTAGTGGTCCCATCGATGCCCTTCACCTCCCCTCACCGAAGACGAGAGTGCAGAGCCACCCACTCCATCTCCGCAGGTTGGTTTAACCCCTTTAGCTGGCCGACAGGCTCCAAGCACTGCATCCATCACCGCATGCAGTCCTGTCTCAAGTTGTTGTGATCCCTCATTGCACCCTAACGCGCACACAGTCACTGTTGTGCTCTCGAGCGTTTCGGGGGAAGTCAGACATTATGGAACGCCACGAACTATATGTGTAAATACAGAGAGACACAGGCACGCACACACACACATACTTGGCAATGGATAATGGATGGTACTTTGCCCCAGCCCGAGTTCCCAGCTACTTAAATGAAATTATGTCCCGTCCAAGTGGGCATTTGTCGTCAAAGTGTCTCAGGTGAGTGGCCCAATAGAGTCATCGAGGAGCCATTTACGCGGATCTCTCTTCCACCGGCCGGGTGGTTCATAGTGATCCAGCCTAATGTCCACTTGGTGGACGGTCGGACCTCTGCTCTGATGGCTGATACCCACGCAAGCAAGATCATCCTAATGGTCATATCAAGCAATATAAAATGCTCTTTACAGATTACTTGTGGTAACACACAACAAACACAATTCTCCTCCACTAAAATATCCCTTTTGTCATTTTTAATGCTTAACCCTCGGTGATCATTTTTGCAAATTGTAGCACATTTGTGTAGAGCAGATTGTTGAGTGTGCCTGAAGGACAACCATCAGTTATGATTTCCTCAATACAGGTTGACAATCCACAAGTAGATAAAGCAACTCAACACTGGTGGTTATAATTGATCTGTTTTGTTTTGTGCTTTCAGTTTTTATTATAATTGCCAAGGTTAACCTATTTTCTAATTGTGTTGGGGAAAATATGTACCTCATCCTAATGGGACCGTCAAGGTGAATCCTCACACCTTCCCTTTGTTGTAGTCTCCCTTTTAAAAGCAGAAAGTCTACGACCATGACCCGGCTTATGACTAATTTAGTCACCAGAAAGCCCAGAAATGTGCTACTTTCAGTAAAACATATTAAGTGCACGAGCTTCTTCATAGGCTGATTGGCATGGAGTGAGCATCGAGTGAGAGGCAATTAGAAACAAATCCAAAAGTCACGATCATAACACATTATTTGAGATATCTTCAGTGATACTAGTGATATTGATGAAAGTGGTTTCCCTTTGCTGTCCCTGGTTGACTAAACCGATGTTGTCCAAAACCCTGCTTAGAAGCTAGCTGAGGGGAATCAAGTGTGTGTTCTGTGATGCAGCGTAAAGTCCTCACTTATTCAGAGACCTGCTGGACAAGAAGCTGCCGGGTAAAATATTCAACCCACCAACACTTTGCGGGGTTTGGCCTTTAGCCAACTCAAGGGCAATTTTTGTCGCATTTATAGTCTGTGTTCTGCCTCCTTCTGCACAGAAATATCTGACAACAAGAGTGACATTAATACTGCACGACAGCACGGTCCAGCAGGACTGCAAATGTTTGCCTTGTAATCCAGGACTCGGCGGCCTTTGGTCTGGCCACAGCAGACAGTGACGGGAATGGGAGAAGAAAACTGTAGCCAAACTTGTCTCTGCTTCTGTAAGCTCAGCTCCGCAATTCATGACCCGAGCCATTTCAAACATTTGCACAACCACCCCGGCAAGAGAAACACACGCCGGTTGTTGTCATGCCAATGGAAGCAAATGCATCTTCTCAACTCGAGAAAAGAGTCTTTAAAACTGAAATGAGGCACAGACAGGATGGCATTTGGTTCCACTTTATGCTGTACATTCTGTGGATTGGAGAGGAGAGGTTCGACCCTCCTCCTCTCCTTTCCTCCTCTGCGTCCAGGGATGAGCTTCCAGTTTAATTGTTGGATGCTGGTGTCTGTTGTAGTAGCTGTCAAGGGAAGATAAAGAGTTTTTCCCGGGGCGCAAGAAAAGGGGAGAGCGGTGATGGAGGGCCTCTCTCCTGCAGCTCCGCTGGCTGCATTAGCCCCACGCTTTATAATTGTGTGAAGGGGGCACTTCCAGTGGCTCCCTCATTACTCACTGGCACGGCCAGTCCCTGGCAGTCAGGCACACCTTGTACCCTCTCTCTCTCTCTCTCCCCTTCTCTGGCCGTCGCATCCATTTCAGGATGTCCCTCCGCTTCCATCACCCCCTCTTCCTCCCATGGGCAATCCTCCCTATTGTTATTTTGACCCGGCACCGCCATCGGCGACTTTTCCCCCTTCTATTTTCACAGAATTGTTTTGACACCCCCCTTTGTCACACTAGAACCTATTGTACGGCATTTGCTCTGAGTGATGTCACCCGTGCTTTGGAGTTAATGCTTTAGTGTAGTATAGCCCAAGACTGTGTTGGCTCCGCCATGGGACTCAGCCGTCTAAGTCAATGACTGAGGCCTCTGACGATGAGGTCTTCCTTGGAGAAGCATGGCCAAAGTCGTGTCGTTTTTCCACCCTACTGACAACATATGGAAGATATCAAGAGTGCAAAGGCAGGCATATTAATAAATATTAAGTGCATGAGGTGATGTTCTTCATAGGCTGATTGGTTTGGAAGGAGAACAGCCAGCATCAAGTGAGAGGCAATTAAATGATATAATTGAGATGCCTTGAGGGCCAATTTGTTACACATACTCACAGTGAAAGAGTCCAATGATTTTACGGCAGCGGGCCTCGTGTTATTACGAGAGGCAGTCGACTTCATCTCGGCCCGAGCCTCATTCACATTACCGTTGCTTGCGTGGACATTTGCTGTTAAGGCGGTTAATGAAAAGCTGCAGGAACACTGTGTTTGCATCGGTTCACCCTCAGTGACATGTTTAGTGTCACATTAAGCATTAACTCACATGTACTGACCATGTACCACTGTGTCTGTCCCGTCTGTCTGCAGAGGGAGGTACTTGCGAGGTGATTGCCGCCCACCGATGCTGTAACAAGAACCGCATTGAGGAGCGCTCTCAGACCGTCAAGTGTTCCTGTTTACCGGGGAAAGTGGCCGGGACGACTCGGAACAAACCCTCCTGTGTGGATGGTGAGGAACCCTAATGTGTTTTAACTTTGTATAACCAGTACGCTGAGGAATGATGTATACATTGTGCAGGAGCCAAGCGTTTGCCTCCTGACACAGGCCTGTAGACATGATTCATATTTTTAATAACTGTAACCATGACCCGATTATTTGCCATGACAACAGTCTTTCCCTAGCCCTAACAATACCTTGAAATAAAGGCCTAGGAATTTCAAAGCTATTGGGTAGTTTATAGGGAAGGGTCACTTTATGAACAATAGATATTTTTCTCTCACCTGTAGTGCCATTTATCAATTGAGATTGTTTTGGTGCGAGTTGCCAGGAGCTAAAGATATCAGCTGAAGAAATGTCTTCTTCTCTAGACTACAAATGGCCGATATGGGACCTGGTTTGTGATGTTGAAAGTACCGTTCAAAAACTCAATGCGATATTTCTTTCCAAATAGTCACATTATAGACACTCTGTGTGGCAGTCGGTATCTCCAAAACTAGGTAACTAACACAACACTGTCTGTATTGAAAAATAGCACTACGGGAAAGGGAAAAAGATACATTTTTAATTTGGTGGTGATCTGTCAATTATATATAACTTAAAGTATATCTAAAAAATTAGGTTACTACTTAAATATTGTTAATTTAGTTTTCTTGCAAAGAAAACCATCTAAGTATTTGTTGCATAATTTGTAATTATTACAATAAATAGGTTATGATGATGTCAATAAATCCGTTTATCTCTTTTTCATGAGACTTCTTGAAAATTAAGCTGCCAAACTGCAGCTTTGTGCTAGACGTGTGGTGTTGATTCCACATTTCGGATACGTACGATAGACTGTTTTGAATGAATTATGCATTAACAAACACCTCAGACGACGACCTTCGCCGTATCGCCCCAAAAAATACATTCAACCTTTAAGAACCCAATGCTGTGCTGCTGGGCATCATGGGAGTTTAGGGATGATCCAGTTGGGCTGTTGAACACATGAGCAGGGAGTACGTAGCAGATCAAATCGCCTAAGGCTGTTCGGCCTGATGGAAATGAATAACTAATGAACACTAGTCAGGGAAGCTTCGGGCTAGTGCACCTGAATTACTTCAGCTGAGAAAAAAAAAAAAAGGGTCAAAAGCGTTTCCATGAGAGGGGTAAAAACCACTAGGAGGACACGGGTCTACTGAGACAGAACTTCACTCGAGGAAGCTAATTTCTTCCTCCTCAGTCTCAATCACACCCCCACCTTCAGCAGAGATCAAAGTCATCTCTCCAACTGCCCTCGCGCCATGAAATGACACTAAAACGTCTTCATTAGGAGGGATGGTACATGAGGGGCCAGACAGGCCCACTCAGTGGGCTTCACAGGGTTGGTTAGCCACAGCTGACACTCAAGAAAATCATCCAATATAAATTGGATATGAGCTAAGAATGACACAAGAAAAAAAAAACATTCTCTCTGATGAAAAAAGGAACCTAAACCCTGCAAAATTTTAGCAGTGAAAGGAAACATTTTTATTTTGGAGGAATAAGGAGGAATGTGTTTGGACTGAATGAAACATTTGCCGAGCTCTGACCTTACGATGCAGATATTTTAGCAGACTGTGTTGTGCTTGTTCAGAGACAACCAGACACTATTCCTCAGCACCTTCTTCGAGTTCTATTTCACTATCCGCTGCCGAAGACTAACTTTAAATAAAAATAATTAAATAAATAAACCATCAAATTGAGACATGTTCTTGCCACAAGAAAAAACGACACCTCGACTGTGAAATTAATACTTTACCCTTAAAAGGCCCCCTGATGTGTGGTGTCACCCTTGGGAAAAGTTCACCACTTCACTGATTATTTAGATATGTTTTAAAAAGTTTTAGCAAAAATGCAAAAATGCAGTTGTGAGCATGATCCAACAGTTCTGTGTAAGCTTGAACTTGAATGTACGTTTGTGTAGTTTGGCTCTTGTTAAAATGTGGCCCTTATTTACATCAATTCGGTTCCCTCCCACCTTTTTCTTGATTATTCAGTCACTTTATTTGACATTTACCAAGGGTGATTCGGTGTCCACTCCTTTTAAAATCAAAACATGTAACAGTAAAAGTAGCAAGTACGACAAAAGTATAAAAATGAATTACACGGACAGCAGAATGGAGGTGGAGAGGCCGGAGTATGTGGTTAACACTTCAAGCCTCCATGCTTCAGGCTACCGCAGCCAGAAAGCCCTAGCTGTATATTGATTAACAAGAATGGTGATAAAATGGAAGTGACAAGTCAATGAGCATCAGACTGCAGTATCGAGCACCATTGCACCACACTGAAAGAGCAAAGATGACCTGACCTCTTAATTTTATTATTTTATTTTCTTAAATTGGGGGCTTTCGGGTGATTTTCCCTTGCTCGGAAGTGAATCAGGCTGTTATTTATTTAACGATAAAAACCCCAAGGGATGAGGGCTGAAGGGCAGACGGCAAACTTATGTTATTATTCATAAGAGCTCATCTGTAGTCGGAGGTGTCGCACTTTGCAAACATGCCATTTAATTAAAAGATCTTTTTGGTAAGTGTGGAAATACGTGGACACGGAGGGGAGGGTCCGCTCTGTTTGCAGGGTTTTGATTGCCTCGGAAAAGTGCACCAGAAAGTTGGACGTGTTCATCAAAACCGAGCCCCGCGGACTGCCGTTGCGCCATGTGAGGGATTATTGTGACTTGTGGAGTCAGTGGCCTGGCCCCTCAGCAGCACACTGGCCTGGCACATATAGAGACCCCCCCCCCCCCCCACCCCCCTGACCCTCAGGTCCTGGCGTTATTAATGTACCCTCCAGATGAGGAACGATACAGCAGACCAGCTCGTCTCCCCGCACCTCTGGGGGACACCTGTCCCCCCCCCGTAGCGTACACAGGTTATCCTCCCCCAAACAAACACCACAAGAAAGAAGAAGAAAAATAGAATTGCCGGTGAGTCTTTAGAGGTAATTTGGTTTGGACCAACAGACGTAGCTTGGAGGGTTAGAATTTGCAGAGACAATCCGGCCGATTAGCTGTCTTATCGTTCATTAGCATCAAGCTGCAACATCAAAGCACCACAATCGGCCCCATTGTCTGGTGTTTACACCTCATGATCACGGCCCTCGTGGGCTTTTTGCGGTTGCCATTGGTAACTGTTTGGGTTGTTAATAATACGTGGGGATGTGAGGACAGCTTGCGTTTGGCGGTGGTGGCCTGCTGTCAGATTATCCCTCTAGTGGGAATTGATTATTAGCTTTGACAAGGAGAACTATGTCCCAGATATGTCAGGGCCAACGAGGCTCTTAGTGAAGAACATCCCTTTTAACAAGTCAAACGCTCATATCTCTCCAACCTCGCCGGGCCTGATCACATGCGCTTGGATTAGGCGCTCGTCACTGCACCACTGCCTTTATCCCAGTGTGAGACATGTAAGCCCTCAGCCGCATTCTGGACCGACACACACACACACACACACACACACACACATATGCACTCATTTACCCAACACACGCTTGCAGATGCCCTAATACCCGCACATGCGCCCACTTTGTGTTGTCATGTAGCTGCAAACTCTTTCGAAAAGAAATGTACGCAAATGCCGGCTCGCTGCTAATCACTGATGGGGAATGAACCCTTCTGTTTGGCTGTGGGCGCGTATAGCCGAGCATGACAGGTTGTCATGGTACATTTGAGATGCGTCCGGAGGGGCTTTGGGGGGAGGGACACATGGAAGCCACTTGAGGGGAGGGACAAAGGGCGCTGCGGTGCTTTCAGAATAGCATGAGCATGCAAAGGTCAATGTCCACAGATCAGTTAAAACGTATTTGTTACATCACAAGGATCCATCACAGGGACTGAAAAAAAGAGTGATATACTTTTGGGTCCAAAAAGAGGTTTGGGTGAAGACCTTCGGGAGAAGTGGAGAATAATGACTGGGAAGCAGGTTTTCTCCTCCTCCCGTTGAGCTCTCACGTCGCGTCGACGATGTGATTAAACTCTCAACCTTTGATCCGCTAGAAGAGGGTTTGACCCTCGGCAAGAGTTCAAAGGTCTCTACAGTTTAGTTTCTCTCTTTAGTTTCTGTCTCATTTTTTTTACATTTTCCTCTCTGCTCTCACAACTCGAGCGGGCGAGCGAGCGAGGTAAAGCACCATATGGCAGATGTGTGGGAGATATGCTTTCATAAATGCCTTTTGTACCCACATAAAAGGAAAGGATGTAACCACACAACAGAAAGACATGTTGTTCAACCATTAATAGGCACACACCTACATCAACACACCGAAATCCACAGGCCTGGAGTCACACTCACTCATGGCCGCTAAAAATGAACAAAGATAGTGAGCGATAGAGAGACACTATCGTAGCGGAATCACTGGACACCTTTGATGCTCAATAGTTTTTGATGTAACAATATTAACAGCAAGCACAACATGTCTTTCTAAGTTGTAGAAATTGTGGATCTTAAATGCTCCATATGCTGTGTTTGCCTCACTAGGGACAGTATTTTAGTTATTATCTGTTTGTATGTGCAAATGTAAATTCTAGATTTAAAACTAAAATTCATTTGAATGAAAATGAAAACATGCTGGAAAAAAATCAAATGAGTCTTGAAGCCTACAGGTGTCCGTTATGTATTCAGAAAAGCTGAGTGATTAGAAAGGCAGACCCTAATTCATCGAATAGCTAATCAAACCTCTGCTCTCTCTTCTCAGAGAGGGGTAAGGATTAATGCAGAATAATGACTCTGTGAAGCTGACCTCGGGTTCAGAGGTTTGAGTCTTAGTCCCTCTAATTACACACTTGTTTCATTTGCTTCACGCTCCTGTGAACTTTTCAATTCTTTGCCGTTGCTGCAAAATGCTTGCACTCTCACCCGTGTCTCATTAGGATGGAACAGTGTTTTCTATCCTCATTGAGCGGTTCGGTGTAACTCCTCTTCCCTACTTCCATGACTATGTGAACGAGTGATGGATTGATGGGCCTGGGTTCGGTTAATAACTGGGTGATCGGGGGGCCCGGTGTAAAGTGATTAGGTAAGAAAAAGCACTTTCTGGCTGGTGAGATAGATGACCTGAATGTGTCAGTGGATAAGAAGAAGTAAGGCTGATTTTTAAATGTAATCTTACAGGAAGCACTGACCGTGCATACTTTAGATATGACCAAACAAAACGGCGTGAGAATTCAAAGCCCAATGGCTTTGCGCTCCAAATCTTGGCTGATTTAAGCGACTCGTCAAATATAGACACTGAGGGTGACATCATTGGAACCATGTTTTGCTAGGATTCATTTAAGCCCAGCTAGCGCTGTGCAGGGCGCTGCGCGTTAAAAAGCATAAACTATTCATCGAGCCCCCACATTCATAATTCTTTACGCAGACGGAAATCAATTGACATCCTCATCAGTCAAGGTGTTCAAACATTCTACTACCTGGCAGCAACGTGTCAGCGAGTTCAATCCATCACAGCGCGCGCTCACCTGTGATCTGACAGATGCACTTGTAAAAAGGTCCATTGCTTCATGTTTTTCAATCAATTCAAGTCCCACTCTCCGTTTCTTTGTCCATCAAAAAGCCAGAGACTCCAGCCAGCGACATGGCTAACTTCTTTTAATCAAGCACTCTCTCTGCTCTGGTTTTCTGATTGTTCCAAGCCCGTCTGTCATCTTTGACAGAACACAGCGGCTATGGTAACGCGTGAAAATCATGTTAATTGGTGTCGGTGCTTTAAATCACACCAAAGGATTTCAGCTTGAAAACGGATCGATCTGAAAATGAATATTCGACCAATGGCGTTGGTGGGCGCAGTAGTCCCTTTTCCCCCCCCGTGCACTCACCAACAGACACACAGGAAGAGTCATGTTTTGCTGATGTTGGAACAAAGGTTACGACCTGTGTGCTGACGGTTGCACTGGGAGTAGTTAAAGCCACTGCTGGAGGTCAGCGGTCAGCAGAGAGTGATGCATGGATCTCGGCCCGGAAGCATCACCCGGTGATGAAGGTCAGAGGCAGATGTCCTGTCCCACAGCACAGCCACAGACATCAAGTATCTGTGTTCACATAAGAGCGCTACTTTTTTTCCATCACTGTCGTCAAGACAAATTATTTCTGCCTTGATGAAAAAATATGTAACAAGAATTTAATATTGGTTAAAATAAGTAATGAATGGAAAAAACTCTCCCGGCCCATCTAATGCAGACGTTTCCTCCACTCTCCTTGTATAACCTTTCCATGCTTTGTGCACACAGATTACAGGGCACATGGTATGAGAGGTAAATTTAGTTCTGGGAAATAAACATCATTCAGCTTTCAAGCAAAGCAGCTCTCAGCGCTCGTGTTTCAGCGACTCGTGTGAGACAATTCCTGCTTTCGCTTCCTCCTTTCCTCCCGTCTCCGGCTTTCTCTCTCACTCCATTTAAAGGGATTGATTTTTGCTTTGCAGGTATCAATTTGCCTTTTTTTTTAAATTTCAAGGAGATTCTGCATTAAAATTGTTGAATATTAAGCCTCCCTTAGAGGCTGATGAATGAAAAACATCTTTTCCACCACCCCCACACCCCCTTTTTTGTTCTGCAAAAGAAAAAGGCGCCTAACAGAGTGGCGGTGCGCGGCACAGCATCCAGGCGAGAAGGTGCACCTTAAACCACAGCTGAATGTAAAGTGTGGACTGCATATTTAGCCCATGAATGAAGACGGGGCAAGACGAGGGAGCACAGTGGAGGACCAACGTGTGGTAATTAGTGGATGAGGTAAACCGCCGTGGGGGCAGCCAAAAGGCGGCTTTGCAGCCTTGGTGGATGCTCCCATCGTGGCATTGAGTATCTTCGGGCTCATGGAGGGAGAAGCGAGGCAAGAAGTCAGCAAATGCCTCCAGTTCAATGAGCAGCAGTGGGGTGTCGTTCGGTGTCCACTGTGTGTGTGTGTGTGTGTGTGTGTTTCTCAGACCGAACCACAGCAAGCTCTGTGCTGTGAGAGACTGCACTTTAACAGTCTTCTTTCATCACTCGGAGACGGCATGTCACTCGTGCTCACAATTGATTGGTGGTTGGCCTGTAACCTTGGCAACACAGGCTAGAAGGGAAATTATAGTTTCGGAATTGGATCAAAAAAGCTGGTTTGGACAATGAAATGGCAGCTTTAAGTAGTAACATCCAGCCATCCATTTCAGCCACATATATTCTCTACGTTAAAAGGAAATCCCCCCCCCCGCCAAAAAGAAATATTTGAACTTTGAACTTTTCACGTTTGCTGACACAAACCACATACTGGGAGATATTTGCTGTTACAAAAAGTACAGCTTTTATTTTGAATAAATTAAAACTATATGCTTGCAGAAGAACAGGAAAACACGTTTCCTTATGGGAGTTCAACTTGGATAGCTTGAAAGGTGTTTTTAAGATAATCTAACACTTGTAACATATTTCAAGATTATCGTTTTCTTTTTGAAAAACTCACATATTCCCCCCAGAGAAATGAGAGGAGAAAGAGGAGAGAGAGGAGGGAGATCTCGATGAGAACATATTTGTTTTTGTCAGATAGCTGGAGGAAGAACTCGGTTGAAGGTAATGAGAGGCAATTAGTTTTGATTAAAAATTAGATTGCTCCCCCTACATGCAATGTAGCTATATCAAAACTAGTTCATTTCTGTTGGTACAAGACATTATTGTGAACAGCAAAAGTACCCATGCAGCAACGAGGCAACTGCTCTGAGGCCAAAAGAGAGGAAAGAGATCCATTTAGAGACTTTATGTTCCTCTGGAGTTTGTTATGATAGTGTGGTTGCTTTTCCATGTGTCTGTCCATACAATAGTGTCTGCGTTAGACAGGTGGGGTAACCAAATTGTGTTTGCGTGGGAGGTTTCTTTAAACTCTACTCGCTATGTTTTTTAATTACTCAACAATATAAGTATTTAGTTCATTTTTACAGCTCTTTCTGGAATTATGCCCCTTTAGCCTTTTCTCTTCTTCTTTCCCTTTTTCATTCATATTATAGTTTTATATTTTTTTGTATCAGTGCATGAAAGTGTGTCTATGTGATAAACTAACTTGCTTTGTTTCGTATCTGTGCTCACCTTCCACAGCGTCCATTGTGATTGGGAAATGGTGGTGTGAGATGGAGCCATGTCTGGAGGGAGAAGAGTGTAAGACACTGCCTGACAACTCTGGATGGATGTGCTCTTCTGGGAACAAAATCAAGACCACAAGAGTGAGACCACGCATACACTTACAAATGCATTTAAAATCAGGCACAGACATCCACTCCCACGGCAGGAAATACACACACACACATAGCGATACGGCAGGCACACACTAGGGCTCTAACTACTGCAACTATTTTGAATACAACTAATTTATCAATTATTACTATGATTAAAGTATTATTTTTGTAAAAAGCATATTAAACTGCTTTTTATTAAAAAACAAAGCCTATACATTGTATTATCCAATGCTCTTACTACACATAGATGAATCCATGTACCAAAAACAAGGGGGTAATGTATCTCCACATGCGTCTATATATAAAAAATATATTGCTACACATTTTGTAGCATCTCAAAAAATAATGGGTAAAATGTCTTGTTAAGCACTTTATTTTGAAAAGCTCTTTATATGATGTGTAAGTTTATCATTATTATGTTTGATCAGATAGTGTTTCAGTTTCACTTTAGATTCACTCTGACCGATAGTGTGAAATATTCCAAATACTCTGTATCTTGAGAGGACGCTTCGACAGAAATCGCCTTGCTTGGCAACCGTGTGGGTTCATGTTTACTACCTGTCAGCTGATGTCTAAGAGGGCAGCTTCAGCACCTCGATCCGTAACCAACAGGCCGAAGTTAATTCGGTCCATTACGTATGTTCTCAAACAACAAAGTGTAATGTGACTGTCTTTTCTCAGTTATTCATCTCTGCCTCAAGACTCAAAAATGCTTACACAGAAAAAGGAGAGCAGAGGAAGATGGCGTTGTCTCCCTTATTGGCTGGTTTGCTGCTGCCCCCATTGAGACATTGTCCACGTCCTGCAGAACATTAACCCAACGTATCGATGATCAAATCTGTTGCCAACAATTTTCATAATTACTTTAATTGATTAGTTGCCACTTCCCTAATACACACACACACACACACATATTCCCATGTGCACATTTTTCCAGACGGCATATGCCGAAAAGCCTGTGAGATCTCACTTTGCCACCCTCTTAGGACTTGAACTAAGGAAATCACTGGAGATAACAGTTTAAATACGTTGCTTAAATGCTTCAGCAAAGCTTTTCTGCCAATTGCCTCCCTCATTTTTAATTAAGCTTCTGCCATTTAACAATCAAACATGCACAGTGTCGAACGTGTGGGCTAAAAGGTGTCGCGGTGTAAAGAGAATACTCAGAGCACATAGCATCTACGCTCTCTGTATAACAAGGTGGACTGTGTTCGGTGTAAGCAACCTATCTAAGGTCCCATAGTAGTAAAGAACAAACATAAAGCAGGCAGTAAACAAACAGGTGGGCTCTGCCTCAGGCCACACTCCTCTCAGAGATAGAAAGTTAACTGCCACTCGGCTTCTCCACTGCCTTCCGGCTCTGTAAACTGGCATGCAAAAGTAATGAAGGGAGTTAAGTCCTCGAAGGAAGCTGTCCAGCACTCTGGGACGGGTTGATCGCCCGATTTCTATGCATTTAATTGATCCTCCCTCCCCCCATCACTGCTTGCGTTCAGCAACCCCCCCGGCCCCCCGTCTCCTCTTAGTGCTTGGTGACAATGACTGAGAATACGAGCGGAGACTTAAGTGATGACAGGGAGGTGATGAACCGCCAGTGAAGGTTAGACCACACGGGGCGTCCCAAGGCGGTTCTGCAGATTTATATGTCCGCAGATAGACATAAAGCTTTCACTGAGCCCCTTCACAGTCACCACAGGCCCAAGATGTTCAGGGAGAAGTTGATCGAACGGGTGAGGCGCGTGGTGCTTGGTTAACTCTAAAGAATGCATCTCTAATTCTCTATTCAGGCCTTTGCACAATTTGAAATAATTAAACTGGAAATAATGATTGCTTTTCTAAAAAAAGATTACTCTACATCAGCCAAGACTACATTTACATTTCTGCACACAAATGGAGGAGGAGAATCGATACATATCCATGTGTAAAAGGGCTTTGGTCTGATATTATCAAAGCCTTAAAAGGGCGAAAAGGTCATGCCGGAAGCTGCTTTTCTACCCAATACACACGTGTCCTTAATTTCTTGACCCTCTCTTTGCAGAACACCCAGCCATACTCCCCTTTTTAGCTTCTGGAAGCAAAATGCAGAGGATGGGTCAACAGAAATTGAGCTGCATTCTTGCTTCTGTAAAGGTTAGTCTTTTTCTCAAGCTATTCTTTGTTTTTACCGTCTCTCTCACATCACTGTACTGCACTTAAGTGTCGGAAGGAGGTTGGCAGGAGTTGGACCAACTCGTGCTCAACGACTTCCCATTAACCCGAATACTCAGCGCGAAATAATCAAGTGTGTGTTTACATGCTGTGCATGATTAGGCAGGCGTGACACAAATACTGAACGCACCGCCGCCCACTGTAAATATTTATCACCTGGCACAGAAGGCCGTCGCATAGAAAAAGGAAGTTGCTCAACGTTCAGAAAAATCTGTGGCGCGTATACTGAAATGCATCCGTTTATAGACGGGTAAACATACATGTGCTGCAGCCCATGGAGTGCTCTAGCAACACACACACACACACACACACACACACACACACACACTCTCAGCAGAACCCTGCTGTCTCTAAACAGTGTAATGTCTCCTCCTTTCAATCGCCTCCTTTGTTCCATGTCCTGTTTTTGCTATCGGCCACTGTGTGGGCTTGATTACAGGGACTTGCTCTTCTCTGCCAATCCCATTAGGCACTAATCTGTGACGTGCTACTTGCGCCTCTGTGTGTGTGACTGCACTTGCTTTTGCATGAACGCATGGGTTTCACATGGTGGTGGTTTGTGTGGTACGCTCCCACATGTGCGCGAGACCCCCAGGCAGGCCCTCGTCCCTTTTCCCGTTGTGTGGAGGCTTATCAGAGGCCACTTGATATCCCGATCCCCCTCTGGGGCTCTTGTTGAAGCAGCTATCAGCACTCGGCAAAGCCACCAAGCCTACATGAAAGGCCTTTTATCCTGCACTCTGCTCCCTTTTTTCGTTCTTTTTTTTTTTTAATCAACATTCCTCATTCACCTGCCTCTCAAGCCAAATTGCCTCATTTGTATTTGTTAGGTCAAACGCCAGCAAGCACACAACACCACAATGTTTATTTTGGTTTTGTTTTCTGAATACGCCGCCATTTCATTTCACCTGCATGTTTTGCCTTTTTTTCTCAGTGAAAGGCTTCAGCGAAGCGCAACGACGAGGCGGGTCCAGGTTTATCTACAACTATAATATACATGTTTTACTTTTTCTCAAATGGCACAAGAAATGAGATGGCAGACCATTTTGTTTGTGGAAGGCACAGTGAGAGGAACAACAGCGGGGGAGCACCATCCCAAAAAAAAAACACTCGCCCACCATAGATTCTGCTTTACCCGCTCGACTCGCTGAACAGATCAAACCATTCCCGCTCCCTCCAAAACAATCAGAAAGAGTGGGCTGCGATGAAGCATCTTCTCCATCCCGCCTTTCAGGATGGTGAGGGGACTTCTTTGTGTGATAACCTCACCGGCGTGTGCTTGAGTGGATATGCATTTTTGATCAGGCCGGAGATGTGGTAACACAACCCACGACAGGCATTCGATGCCATTCTTCAGTTATGTCACGCTGGAAAATGACTTCACTCGCCGGCATTTCTGCTACGGAATGTTTAATTGCTCAGATTGCGGAGCACAAAGCGTTGGACTCGAGTGGATACTCACACTTCACATCGGCTCCCATTCAGTCCAACGTCATTTACTTGCTGTTCAGAGACGCACGTGTCCATTATTTTAAAGAAAAGAAACGCACGGTCATCTTTTTTAGACAGAAAAGCACAGTTTCAGGGCCAAAGTGATCGGCATACAATATATCTCATTATATCTCAGTCAGAGATGCCAAGAATGGCTAGATTGTCCAACTAATGTCTTTTTCTAGATGTTTAGGAGGTGGTGGAGTGCTAATCTTTAATCTATAGCCATTTTTCTTCTATTAAACGGAGCCTTCAGGTTTTTTTTTATAGGTGTGGCCTTTAGTTCTGTTTGAGGTGGCACGACTGATTTGTTCAGCAACAACAACAACGAGAAGGCTTGTTTGCACTAAATTATTTTGCTACCACAGTTGTCCTTGGCTCCTTTTACTAACTGAAGTAGAGTAAATTTCCATTTAATGCGGTCGGCAAATTAGAACACAGACGGCTCGGTTGCCAGCAAAGACGGGATCGGCAGCAAATCCTCGAGCAATCCGCTGCTACCTGATGCGCTCTTCATTTTAGGAGACGGAGGACCAAAAAAAAAAGAAAGCAGGCACTTATATTCTTTCTCTCACACACGTGGGCTGAACTGCGAGCATTTGCATACAACCCCTCTTCTCCCACTAACAAACCTCCGGTGCATTGGCTCTTAGAGAGTGAGCCGTGATGTCTAACGGCTCTCCGTGTGACGGAGGTCCTTCTCTGCTCCAACGTTTTGATGTGACCTGAGATGAGCCCAGGGATTAATGTGTTTAAAGATCATGGGGGGGAAAGGAAAAGATCTGCTCACAGAAAGACACTGCTATGAGTGCTGGAGGTGAAATCCACTTGTTAAATCTGTGAAGTTATTTAGAGCATTGAAATGAACAGCTGTACTGCAAACAGGCACGACCATGGTCCACAAGGGAGAATACGTCAGTGCTTCTTAGTGTTTCCTCAGCACGGGGCTGCGAGACAGCTCATTTTGACAGTCGTAATGAGTCATTTGGTCTTCAAAAGAAAGAAGAATCTGGTGTTCCACTTATTGGTAGATATGGTTCCCTTGTTCCTTTCGCTGTCTATTATCCAGCAAGAGACCAAATCAGCACATTTGCACATTTGCAATCCTGCAAAATCTTTGCTAAAACATCACGATATGTATGTAATGGATCATTAGAGCACTTAGTTGTTGCTTTTTAATACGCGTATTATTTGGAGTGGAATTAGTGGTCAAATTTAGTCACACAGCAGAAATAAATGGGAAATCGGGAAATAATACCTATAGCCTATCTGCACTCCTTTACAAAACATAATGTCTTTGAAATATTTGAAAAGGTTTTGAGATATTGATTAACCTGATAACAAAGGGGACTGACAGCATGATCACCGTCAAGAAGGAGAAAAGGCAGAGCTGCAAATTACATTTGATTCTAGAAAGTTCCATATTGATTTTCATTAAAAAATGCTAAAAAAATGTTGAACCCACTGGCAAGGAAACCGATATATGACCTAAATAGCTTCCTTGAATAAGAGCCTTTTGTATCAAATAAATATGTCAAAGCGATTACAGTCTCCCAACAACACAACAACTGCACTGCATTATGTTTTGAGACATGCACAACGCTGACGCAATATTAAAAACAAATTTACGTAGCAGTTAGTCTCCTGCTTTCAGGATTGGTCCTCCCCAGTATTCTCAACACACCACACATGGCAGAATATTGAGCATCTGTATTTGCCTACCAAGGGAAAATGGTGAATAAAATCAGTTGGCTCTCTCGCCGGCATGTCCAACATATTGGAGCTTTGAGATTCTTTTCATGCAGCAGCTAACAAAGTCTCGAGCAGCGTCCTCGGCAATCAAATCCACACACCTGTCCGCCACCTGCCAAGCCTGCAGGAAATGTCACCGCAGTATTTCTTAATTGAACGGGATTATGGGATTTCTAATTAGCCCCGCAGTGTTCGGGGAACGCTGTCGAAGAGGGATGTGTTGAAAGGGAGGTGAGGTGGAATCCTGTAATACTTTGGGCTGCCTCGATGGTCGTAACAAGGTAAGGGACTCTGCTGTTGAACGAATTGCACGCATCATTTTGATTCAGGTTTGAACAGGATGCTGGAAAGCGCGACGTTCGTTAGCAGTCTCAAGGTTGAAAAAGAGTCCCTGAACGAGTCACACAGTGAAAGCTCAGACCGTGACGCCATTATCAGAGCCAATGTTGATCGTGCTGGAGGAGATCCTCTGCTATGACTGGCGAGCTTGTTTTGAACGTGCAAATGTGGGTGGGTGTGTGTGAGGGGGGGGAAATATCAATTTATGACTCAGACATACACAGCATGGAAACACACAAGGGTGTTTTTGTACAAAGAGCTTCCTGCAATATCCCGGTACACCTATAAATGTCAACCGCACCTCCGTTTTTCGGTGCCGTTCCCACCCGTGTAAACTGTCTGTTTTTAGCGGCGGGAACCAGGAGGTGAGACGCGGCTGTACAAAGCCTCCCACGGTTCAAAAGACTCCCCTCGGTTTGTTTTTCTAACGCGCAAACGGAACAATTCCTCTGGGTGTAATCCTCGCACACTTTCAGGCCTTTGTTCCATCTAAGTGCGGTGTGTTTTCTCTCCTCTCCTCTTCCTCCTCTGTGTTGCAGATCCATCCCAGGACCTAACAGAGGGCTCCCGTCGCAGGGCTGCGTGCCAGGCTCTTCCCCTTCATCCACCCTTTCTCTTCCTACCGAACGGACTAAAACTATTACATCCACGTCTACTGACTGGATTACCTGGGACCACGGAAAGGATATCCACCCAGATAAAACAGCTTTGCTTCGCGTGGTGCCAAGGATTTGAAACCAGACTAATCCCCTGTTTGATCAATGAGCCCCACGTTGGTGACTCTCCTCCTCCACACAGCTGTGGCCAGTTTCCGACCCTCGCTCGCGCTCTCCGTTTCTCTCTCTCTCTCTCTCTCTCTCTGTGTTTTCATCCCTCTGTCCCCCACTGAAAAACTGAAACAGCTTAGCAGGGGTTATTTAGAGGTTGTTAAAACATTATTTGAAGACATTCACACTGCCTGAAGGTAAACCGGTTTAGGAGCTTACATGAGACTGAACATATTAAGGGCAAAGCGGGGGTGGGGGGGGGGTTTACCTTGATTTCCTTTTATTTCTGTGTGGAAGGCATTCGTGTTGGACTTGCTGCAGCAGGTGGACGGCCTTGCCGGGACAGCACTGAGGTTAAAAACAATGGATTGTCAGTGCCGGAGACCTCTAGCGGCCTACAGCGGGTTGATGGAGAATCTTTGAGAGGCTTAAGGGTCTTCGGGGGACCTCACCTTCAACCGTCGCAAAGGACTTGGACTTTTATTCGTGGGCATGGCCGATGTAAATTCATGAGCACTTATTTTCTTTGTGTGTAAGATAATTTGTGTATAAATACATATATAAATACATCACGTATAAAATGACAGATCCGAGAAGCTGAAAAATATATGTAAGCCTCTATTAGGAGATCATCGCCATGGGGGAATACTGATCACCGACTGAATATACTTATACAGAGGCTGTTGTTGTCCCAGTAGGATGTGTATAGGACTGCTTGCAGAATACGCCTGCTTTGGAAAAGAGCAGTCATAAAAATGACCACTGGTCACTCGGCAGATGTCCTTGGTTAAGCCAGAAAACGCTTGTAGTTTCTGTAAAGATGAGGAAAACACTGTATAGAACTGCCTCACACAAGAAAGCAGCACTGACAACAAGGTCTGAGCTTCCCACTCAGACACAGTAGGGACAAAAAACAGCAGCGGAAAAACTGCTGCTAATCTGACAATTATCTATTTCTGCTGTGGAAAGTGGTCAGGGGGCGAGAGCGTGACTGTGTTTGCCGTGTTGATCTGGCTCTTACGCCCCGGATAGAGATGATGTATTCAAAACGACAGTGAGAAAGTGTAGTCACTATTGAGAAACGTACAAGTATCCCCCAGTAGACATAAGTACATTACAGGTCAGCCTTACGAGAAATAAAAATTGTTTTCTATACCGATATGCAGTCTCTCATTCCTTTGAAACTGATATTTTGAAAAATACTCCTCATGAAAATTTGATATGTTGTAATATGTGGATGAAAGATGTTGGAGTTTCATTTTTATGATGTGTTAACACCGAGTCTTTGCTCGAGTAAACAAGCAATCAACAAGAGCGCAAGGCGAGTGGGAAAATGACTTACGGGTAGACAAACATGCGCATGCAGTGAGCACACAAACAAATCTCTGATGCTTCATTTATACAATTCCCTTTGTGGCATAAAAGGATTTATCAGAACAGCACATTTAAACATTCATGCAATTAGAATAAAGAATTTCCAATATCGTTGCAGGCCAAATTCCAAAGGATTTTCAATATCAACCTCCTGTCTCGGCTGATATGAGATTTCCTCTCCCTACAGACGCACCAGTATACATTCATCATTTAGGAATTTGGCTAGTTTTGTAGAGCGCGGTGCCTCGATGAGCAGTCACAGAGGGAATGAAAGAGACGGACACATCAATCTCCCGGCGGTCTTGCCAGAGTAGTGGAGGAATATGCAGAGGGAGCAATGGCAACTTTTTTTCCTCCTCAATGAGCTGTTCTCGTCTTTGTTTTCTCACATATAATGGAACTCACTGTCGTGTGTCAGGGAAAGTGTGTAACAAAGTGTCTCTGGGTGCCTTATTGTTGCTGTAAATGAATGCATGTGAGTGTTTGTGTACAAGTCAGTTGTACCACTCTCGTCAAAGTATTTTTAGGGTCTGTGCGTCAGGCACCCTGCAACGGCGTACTGTGAACATTATCTTCAAATTCTGTGCGGAAAAGGGAATCAAGGGATTTCTCCCTTCCTGCTTACGCAAGTTCTAAGGGTTTTTTTTCTTTAAAAAGGTGCTTTAGTATCAGAAACGGAAGAGGTGCTTGTTCTTATTAACTTTTATCCACTCCGTAGCTCTACCCAGAATAGTTGGAGTCATGCTGGGGAGGGAGGTTCTGCTCCATTTTAGGCAGAGCAGAAAGTAACACGGCATGAATATACAACAAGGACCGGGTCCTGCTCCCTCTCATCTCACAATGGGAGACTTCCCATCAAGATGTGCCGACCTCCCAGATACAGAGACCGCCGTGTCCGCACCGCGCCCGACGCTAAGGACGACTTTTTTCACACAAACGAGACTTGTGCAGGAGATGTCGGGCCGTGTTGTTTAAAAACACTGAAGTGAAGCAGAGGCTAGAAGAGGCGTGATTACTTTTCGGGAGCTTTTAGTAAAAGCGGACGCTCCTCTTTGACACCTCTTCCTAATTGTCGCACTTCATCGTATTCATAAACATGAATCATTATGAATAGCAAAATAAAATCTGTGGAAAGGGCACACTGCTATAGCTGTGGGGGCTTTTCAGTAGGGCTGCAACTAATGATTATTTTGATAATCGATTAATCAATTATTTCTTTGATTAATCTATCTAATCTATTAATCTATGAATCGGATAAAAAAACAGCATTAAAAAGCTTTAATTTCCAACCCTTTATTCCAAAACAGAACTGCAAATCCACAGTGTTCAATTATAAACGTTATGGCCTCGAGTCACTGCAAATGTCTCCTTTACAATTAACATCCATTGGAGCTGGACAACTTGGAGGATCCCAGCGTCACCATGACACTCAAACTCGGCCTCAAAGACATCTGCTCCGCAAATCTGGGCACCACTGCCACAAAGGCCCATCTCTCCCCATGAACAAGAAGATACTATGATTATTGGTCGATCACTTTAAATCATTGGACATAAGAAAAAGGTGAAATGACACGTCAATAGACACAGTTACAGCAAACAAACGAAGAAGAAATGGATAAAGATCAGCCTGCAGATATGCTTTCCCCACAGTCTACAACTAAATGCAGCAAACAACACACAGTGAAACACAGCAGTGCCCTGCTGCTACGCGCCAGTGTTTGCAACAAATGAACAGACACACTAGTGGGTACACAATACATCACTGTCAATAGTCCCGAGACAGTGCGCCGTGACCGTCAACCACCGACACAGTCGTCAGCTAAAAATGACTCTACAGTCTGATTGTCAGCACTGGGCTATAACGACAATTTATTTCTCTGCTGCTTTACCGTTGTGCTCACCTCCCTTCACGTTTGCTTTGCTGAGGTGTGGCGACTGGGCCCAAACCCGCCAAGACACCACTGTAATCGTGGATCAGCCTCACTGGGGGATCTCGGGCGTAACACTTCCCCGTTGAGCAGAGAGCCTTTATCGTCGCCGGTGTTTCCACACAGCTGGAAGCGACTCAACACGCTGTTGTTTCCCCACTAGGGGCCAAATGGCCGTAAAGCTGGATGAAAAAAAAAGAAAAGGAAGAGGCATTAGGTAAAGAAAGGGACTGAGATTAAGTTGCCATGAGCTAGCATTCATTAAATAAATCCAGAGGTACACTTTCTTTCAGTTGTTTGTTTGCGTGACCGTCATGTGGTGGCACAGCGGGGAGGTTGGGTGAGCAGTCTGCTGCTGTCAGAATGGGTCCATCACACAGCAGGTTAAGGAGACACGGCGCACCTCGCTTAAAAAGCACTAACATGAAAACCAAGAAGTGCATGTGATTTTTTGTCACACTGAACCTAGTGCAATGTATTTCACACCTTGTGTCCTTGTATAGCATTGCGTTACAACATTGTGTTTGTTTGGAAAAAAACATTACCCTGGTAAGAAACAATTCTTTTATAAGCATATTGGTACATTTGTTTTGTGCACAGGTCTAATAATAACCAGGAACAGATTGTACTGGCATCTTTTTAGTGGAGGTCAGATGAAATTTCATGTAGTCTCTCCAAGTTTCTTTTTATGGAGAGTTCACAACAGCAGCCCGGCCTTCAGGCTTTCTGCCAGAGACAAAGACCGTTGCCATGCGTCCATACCTGCCCACACACAGTATCATGCAGTGAACCTTTCTAAAGTTGGGTTCTAGGAAAGGGAGTGTTGCCTTGCCTACACGCCGACTGAAAAGTTTGCCACGCCACCGGGTTCATGCAATATCTCTCTGACAGGCCTGAGCAACCTGTGTTTCTTAATGCTCATAACCAAGTCTTTTTTTCATAATTGGTTTGTCGCAGCAGGGCGATAGTTCCCATGCTATTTCAATGATTGCCAGTTAAATCCGTAACATTTGGTAAAATATTTACCAATGAAGGAATTGACCAATCAGAATGGCATATATGACATAATAACATATATGGTCTATATCATGCACGCATTGCTAAAGAATATAGCCTAAAACAGTGTACATTAGTTAGGGAGACCAACACAAATGAAAAACAGCAGGTATAAAAACATCCCATAAGCACACTCACACACAACGCGAGTGTGGCAGACCAGAATACGGTAAAAGAAAGGCAACTGTAGTCAAGAACAGCATTTCACTGATACAAAATGTACAGAACGATAACAAGATAGAACGAGCATCTGGTGACGGCCTACCAAGATAACGAAGGATGGAGAGACCTCTGGGTGTCAGCGCACCGAACAGAGAACATCAAATTCACAGCTACAAAATGTGCAAAAGTGCACCAGGAGACTTAATGTTTGTGTCAGCGCACCATGGCAGTAATCAGACAATACACACACAAAGCCAATAAACTTGTCAATTAAAATATATGTGGAATTAATTATATAAATTAATTATCATTTTATACACTTTTTTCTATTGACGGTTTCAAATAAACCTTCAAATGTTATATTGTATCATAAACTTAAATAATGGGATGGGAACATTTTATTTTGTGTTATTCTGGTTACATAAATGAGTGGAGCAAGCCAGAAATTATATATTTTTAAACACAGTGAAATTGTTTTTCTTTTAAGGTAAATTAAATGCTTAGCGTAAATGAGAGAGAGAGAGAGAGAGAGAGAGAGAGAGAGAGAGAGAGAGAGAGAGAGAGAGATTTACTATTACAAGCTGTTACCCTTATTATCTACAATAAAGTTTGAATGTGAAAATATACACATATATATAAAATGTAAAGGGGGCACTTACTTTATTTGCTGAAGACCATGGGCCTTTTATCTATTGGTATAAGATCAGATCAGA